AGCCCTCCACACTCTTACCTTGAAGCTTTCTGTGGAGACAGAACAGACTTGTCCTACCAGCACTTTTATAGGTTCTGGTCTGCACATACAACTCCCCCCTCTTTTTTCTTAGGTCAAAAAATTTTTGGCAAAGCATTGTTTGGCAAACTTGACTGAGTGCATGATTCCCATTTGTGCTCATGGATATATTTAGAAATATTTGAAGTCTTACTAGCTATGTGAATAAATCTCCTATAAATATTTTGACTAGGAATCTGAAAGGAGGAAGTGCTGTCCAGCAAATAGAGCAGGACACTGGGACTTGGAATTGTTGGCTTCACTTCTCCTGACTCTGAATTGCTGTTTGACATATAAGATTTGTGTGTCTCAGGACTCAGCAGTAGTGAGAAGGATTACTATTACAAAAAGCTTTGGGGAGATTCTATTCTGAAATATTCTGGAAATAAAGAATAGGAACAATCTAGTATAGTCTAATTCCAAAAGTTTGGACAACCATATCATGCTTGTGTTACTGCACCTATTTACAGCTCCTTAGCTTTTTGCTGGCTACTTTCAAAAGACCAGAGAAGACTGTTTATCACCCTTGATTCATGCATTTAATTACATCTTTTACCTTCTTCTGAAGTATTGCTAATTAGCTACAATTTGAAATTGGATTTTAATGGTATTGTTTTGCTGTTCTCTTTATCTGGCTGTGCTGGTTTGCTCAGATGTATGTCTAGCAGAAATTTTGGTAAGGTCAGATTAGCAGTGATTACTGGCATTTTGCGTCCTTTGTCTTTTAGGTTTAATAGCAGTTTTAACTTGCCAGTTTGCTGCTATTGTAGAGACCTTGGATAGTGGCTATAGTTACCAAATGCAAGAATGGGATTTAGTTCACAAATACACCTCCTCCAGCCTTCCCAAGCACAAACACAAACTCCACAGAAATTTAGAGAACTCCTGGGAGGCTCCAGGTCTTGACATGTCTAACCTGTGGTTGTAGACGTGACTTTTCTTTTTTCCCCATAGAAATCCAGTGAAAATTCTAGATACTCTAGGTAGATTTCTTCTGCCAGAAGCCTCATTCAACAGAAGGTATTAACAAAAACAACCTAAACCTCACCCTAAGAATACAAATCTAGATCAAGAAGGAAGTCTTTTTCTTAATCTTAAAATGCCTTGTCATTTCTAAAACAAACAAAGAAAGAATCATTAGTTTAAGCAAAATTCACAAAGGTTTTTGATGCTGTTTACATAGAGGAAGAAGAGAACTTGTTCTGATACGTCAATGACAATGCATTGTGTCTTAAGACAGGAACATTGTTTATCTATGTACAAATAAGTTTAGCTGTGCAGATAGCTTTTAAATTAAGCATGACAGTTTTCAGTGAAGGTGAACATTAGTTAAATCTGGGAAGAGACGCATTAAGTAATTGGAAAAAAAAGCCACTCACATGGTTTTTAGCAATTCTCAGGGAATTTTAAGGATATGGCCACTTTAGGGAATCTGGTGTGGCCATATCCCCTGGTGCTACAGATACGCATCAGACAGCAGAAAATTTCTGTATCTTGTGGGAAAGGTGTAGGGGGAAAAGACACAAGTAGAACTGTCTAGCTACTCTATATAATAAGAGTTTGAGATTCATGAGGTGTCTGGGAATACCTTCTGGGTCCTGCAGAGCTGTCATTTCCTTTGCAAAGAGTTAGGTATGATCTGCTATTTGAAGTTTTTCCATGGATAAAGTGCAGTGATTCTGTACCATATTCTGAAGGCTCATGCTCTCCCTCAAATGTCTGGGAAGAAGCACTGTAAGAAGGGTCAGAGAGGATAACCAGTCTTCTCAACTCACTGTTTTAAAGAACTTTTGTATGCCTCCAGCACTGCATGTACAATTGAAACATCTAAGATCAAGTATTCTTTTATGAAGCTGCCAGTGTCTTTCTGAACAATAAATGTAGAGATTTTATAGTTTCTGTTTGAAAAATAATATTGAGTACTTGTAGAAATGTCACTGAAGAAAATGGAAAGGTCTTATTCATCCTCTAGCATGCAAAACAGGATAAAGGGAGAGAAAGAAAAGATAGATTTTCCCCTCTTCTTCTAACATATTAAACTGTATGAGATTCAACAAGGCCAAGTGCCGGGTCCTGCACTTCGGCCACAACAACCCCATGCAGCGCTACAGGCTTGGGGAAGAGTTGCTGGAAAGCTGCCTGGCGGAAAAGGACCTGGGGGTGTTGGTCGACAGCCGGCTGAACATGAGCCAGCAGTGTGCCCAGGCGGCCAAGAAGGCCAATGGCATCCTGGCCTGTATCAGAAATAGTGTGGCCAGCAGGAGCAGGGCAGTGATCGTGCCCCTGTACTCGGCACTGGTGAGGCCGCACCTCAAATACTGTGTTCAGCTTTGGGCCCCTCACTACAAGAAGGATGTTGAGATGTTGGAACGTGTCCAGAGAAGGGCAACGAGGCTGGTGAGGGGTCTGGAGAACAAGTCTTATGAGGAGCGTCTGAGGGAGCTGGGGTTGTTTAGCCTGGAGAAAAGGAGGCTGAGGGGAGACCTCATCGCTCTCTACAACTCCCTGAAAGGAGGCTGTAGCGAGGTGGGTGTCGGTCTCTTCTCCCAAGTAACTGGCGAAAGGATGAGAGGAAATGGCCTCAAGTTGTGCCAGGGGAGGTTTAGATTGGATATGAGGAAAAATTTCTTTACTGAAAGAGTGGTTAAACATTGGAACAGGCTGCCCAGGGCAGTGGTTGAGTCACCATCCCTGGAGGTATTTAAAAGACGTGTAGATGAGGCGCTTAGGGACATGGTTTAGTGGGCATGGTAGTGTTGGGTTGACGGTTGGACTCGATTTTGGAGGTCTCTTCCAACCTTAATGATTCTATGATTCTATGATTCTATATAATTGTTTAACAAAGAACGGACATGACTGTTCTTTATATGACACATGAAATTAACTCCAAGTTGGATCTGTAGTTTTTTGATAAACTTGTCTCTGACTGTTAACATAGCGAATTCCAAGTTGTGCAGGAACCCAAAGCTTAGCAGGTGAAATCCATGTAGCTGTAAGAAACCTCTTATCCTTTTAATTCT